AAAGTAGACTTCCACCTTCCAGAAAGGTGACACCTTTCTGGTTTTTCTTTCATGGAAAAATTATCATTTAAAAATAAATAGGTTCTATGTTCTTTGGATCTGTTGAATTAATTTTTTTTAGAAGCAGTAAGCTAGCTATTCAAATTGTTCAGTAAATTAGCTACTCATTTATTTTAGGATCTGTTCTAAAAACTTCACTTAAATCATAAGCTGACCAACTGGGAAGAGGTTTTGGTAGGGAGAAAACTGTGGTGGGTGGCGTGCGAAGCTGGAATGTTGCTGGAAAGAAAAAGGAATAGTTTGATAACAAAAAGCCTCAACTTTCAAAGACTTCCTCACAAAGCCTTGAATTCCACTTCTACTGGCACGGCGTGAGAAATAGATGGCACATGAAGGACAACCCACTGATCTAATTTCAGAAACCCACTTGCCCTCTTGCCTCAAAAATTTGCTTGGCGTCTCTGTATAATGTTAGCAAAAAATAAATGGGGGTGGGTGGGAAGAGAGGAAAAGGGCAGAATATTGCAACACACTGCAAAAAAACTGTTCATACGGATGTATTTTAGCACATATGCATGTATATGGGCAGCATATAACTTTAAATAAATAAATAAATATGAGCACTTCTGATCGTGGAAAAGCTTCAAGTTTGCAGTTAGAGGGAGTGGAGACTCTTGTGGTGCTTTATTTAATCAAACTATTCAAGGCTGGCCATTTCTTGGCTGCCTGCCTTGAGGCTTCTAAAATCTGATATTGGTACTGACTGGAATCTGAAATATCTGTACATATCCCAGAGGCATAGCCGACACTTAAAAGGCTTCCAAGACCATTTATAGCCACACAATTTCTACTACTGCAAAATGAATATGCTTCCCCTTCCAGCACCCTGCATGCAGCCTGAAAACGACCAAAGTCAGTGATAAGCATTTCCACAGCTGCTAGAACTGTCAAGTGGCGCTTGACATAAGATGATTTGGTGTGAACTGTTCATGGCCAGGATTTTAATCATCCTGAGGCATGTCACTTCTTTTTTCTTCATGTGGAACACTTCTGAAAAAAAAAATGGATAGTGGCCAATAAACTAAAGGGCAAACATATATAAACGGTGAATTCTCTCTGAAATTTATTCCCGAGAACTCGATTTGTTTCATCCCAGTTTGGCCTGCATGCAGATCTAATAAATTAACACATCTGGCTGCAAAAGGAGCCAAATAGCAGTCCTTCTTTAAGACACTTGTTTTTCATTTTTACTTGAAGCAAGAACTATGAACAGACTGCTTCATTCTGCTCTAAGGTTCTTTAAAGCCTTGGAACAAGAAGAGTATTATCAGAAAGCCTGATAAAGTCTAAGCTACAGTGGGAATGTCTATAGCAAGCACAATTACTTTTCAGACCCGTTGGTTGCCTGGGCGTTCTGCCTGCTGATAGGCTGGCTTTTAGGTTCTGTACTAGTTAGTTACCAAGGCATGACTACAGTGCCTTCTTCCCCCCCCCCTTTATGAATTCCAGCCAACAAAAGAGCACACAGCTAAGCAACAGAGATTTCTAAAGACTCAGAAAACTTTTATTTGAACGGTGGATGTACTAAAATTCAGAAACCAAATAATTCAGGAGTAGGTGGAAGGGAAAATTTGACGCTACTTTACCCTTAACAGCACAGAAATGCTGGGAAGAAAACAGAACGGAAGAGGTGACAAATCACAAGTTGGAAATGTGGGGTTTCATTAATTAGCAATGCTTACATTTGCTAAATCTGAGGAGGTGTGAAAGTGTAGAAGCACTGTTTTTTTTGTCTCCAAGGAGTTGAAAGGGGAGTAACTTTTAATGGGAAAGAGCAACTTCAGTCACTAACTTCTTCCATGTGCCTATGGTTCCAAATACAAGGAAGTGCACAGAAGAAATTTCTGCAAATGCTCTTGACCTCAAAGTCAACTCCACAAACAAGTTGGAGCAGTCACTTTTGACACTAAAAGAAGCAACAAGAGCAGTGCTTAAATTAAAGTTGGGTGGGAGGTCTAGTCCCCTTCATCTTTTACAGCATTCTCTATTAGCTGTTATTACTGAAGAGACAATAGCTATTAATACTAGCAGGGCTAAAGTTAGGCAATTCACAAAATAAAGCCTGTAAGTATTATTAAGGGCACATATTCCATGCTTTGAGCACAGGAGCAGGGGCAAAGAAAGACAATGCACTGTGTCTGCCACTGAAGCAAGCTGGAATTAACAACAAATTCAAGCTACTCCCCATGGGACAGTTACCAGATGCCTTCCTGTTAAGGGAGTGTCCCTTATGTCAAGCTCACTACAGCTCCACAAAGCGATGACAGTTGCCTCCCTTTCAAAACCCCATCCTGTTCTACAAGACATAAACCACACAGCTTGTTAGCTCTCACTTTTGACATTTTGATCAGGGCACGTCAGAACCTACAGAGAGAAACAGCATTAACACCTATCTGCCAACTAAGGGTTCCTTAAACTGAATGGAAAAACTAGAAGCAAAAACAAGCAAGCCACCATGTATATTTTTATTCACAAACCGTTTCATTTTCATGTGCTCAGGAGGCAGGTTTGTGGGAAGCTGCCAAATCTCTGCTTCTCCCCCACCTTCATCACCTACCCACGCAAAAGCAGATGATTCTAAACTAGCAGATTGCAGTGACACTAGTCATACTAGCCTAGAATAACACTTCCCACTGGACTCCATAGCAGGGCAGCTGCAAGAAATGATGCTACTAAATTGGGCGGGGGGGGGGGATCACTGTATTTCAAATAGAACAACTATTTTGAAGATGAATGTCCTAAACAGAGAGACATAACCTGCTCCCAGAAAGGCTTTAACACCTCTTCACACCCGTCTCCCACCCCCCTGGGTAACAGGGCAGTCACTGAGAAAAATCCTTCAAGTTCTCCCTAGGGAAAAAAAGGCAAATAAATAAGAATAACTGGGGAAATTAACATGATTTTTTCTTTTTGCTCCGCTTAAACAAAGAGCTGCCAACTAGACCCATCCACCCCACTTTCTATTAGGTCAAACTGGTTCAGTAACAATGCCCATTTACTTGAGGTTAAGCCTGAGAAAAACCTCCAAGGTTTAATATTAAACCACACATTATGGGAACACAATAAGGGACCGCTTAATAGGAAATATTCGAAATTACATTGCCGGAGGGGTCCAAGCCTGCAATCCTGCTGGCATATACAGTACTTGCAAAATTATCCCCACTATCCTACTTCCGAGTAAACCAACTAACACTCAAATAGTTCACACCACCAGGGGTCTTATTTCTTGTTTTACTCCCAAAACCTGTCCATGTTTCAATACTTTCCCCACACTTTCGGACAAAGGGACAGAAAACGTCTAGCGCAGGAAAATACCAAGAATATCAGATACAGTGTTTTGCTTTGTTTTGAAATGCATTTCGTGGTTTTCCTGTCACGCTTTTAAGCAAAGTGTTTCCCGAAAGCAACTCTAGTTTGTGATTTACTGCAATGCCATCACAGTAAACATTTTTAGAATGAATATTTTAATGTATTTTTTTAAAATATTGAGAGGCAACACCAACACCCAAGACTTATTAAATTAACTCACATTATATTTTGCTTTGTTTTGAAATGCATTTCGTGGTTTTCCTGTCACGCTTTTAAGCAAAGTGTTTCCCGAAAGCAACTCTAGTTTGTGATTTACTGCAATGCCATCACAGTAAACATTTTTAGAATGAATATTTTAATGTATTTTTTTAAAATATTGAGAGGCAACACCAACACCCAAGACTTATTAAATTAACTCACATTATATANTTTATTTGCTTTTACTTTTATTCATTGAGTTTTTACCCATGAAAACATATATAAAAAAACAGTTTGTCTTTAAGTTGCCACCATGGTTTTTTTTTTTTGTCTTTAAAAAAAAACTGTTTTTATTTTTATTCACTGAGTTTTTACTTATAAACGCCGGCACAGACTCACACAAACTCCTTCCACAACTTAACTAATCCTCCTTAATGCCAATATTAATAAAAGCAGTTGTGTGGGGGGGGGGGAAGAGTGGGCGAGAAAGAAGAAGAAGGAGAAGGAAATAAATACTGTACTTTGTTAAGCGCTGGTTTCCTAGGAAACAGAAATGAGGGCTGGCGAGGGAGGAAAACATTTTTTAAAAAAACAAGAACGTTGTTTAACGTTTAACTTTTCCAGGCCTTCCCCCCCCCTTATTAAGAAAAAAAAAGCTAATTTCTCTCCTCCTCCCTCCCCCAATTTTTTACCTCCTCCATCTCGAGGGCCATATTCTGGAGCTGCTCCTCGTCCTCCAGCAGCTCGTTCAGCTGGTGGAGGCTCAGGCCCTCCAGCCGCCTCACGTCCACCGCCATGGCGGGCGAAGGGAACCGGCCTTCCCGGGAAGCGAGCGACCGACCGA